AGATAGCTGGCAGGCAGCGCTGCGGGAGCCGTCTCCTGACAAGGCCAGTGCCAGGTCATCTCCCCAGCGTCAGATATTTAGCTCCAAGGCGAGCAGCCTCTGGCGCAGCACCTGACTCCGTGACGCTTGAAGAGCGGCTGCTGGGCACAGGATCATTGCACAGACGTGGGACCTGCTTCGAGGGGAGGGAAAGGAAGACCAATCGGCGCACGACAGCTCACTGCCCGGCAGCACGCCTTTGTTCGCTCTCCTATTCAATGCCTACACAGGCAGGCTGCTGCGGCCCTCGCCCTTCCCTCTTGCACAGCCAAATGCTTCAGTGTCTCTTAGGATGCACTTCCCAAGTCTCACACCATGACTGTTAGTCCAGGACACAAAATGCACGCTTCCAGCACGATACAGGACTTCCAGAGTCCCATCTCACGCTGAGCTGTGCCAGAATTTAAGGACATTTAACACCTTTCTGGGGAAAGCACGCATCTATGCAAGGAACCTCATGGCTCTCTGTACCTTTCCCCTTGGATGGTGCTTCAGAGGAAGTCAAAAGTTTGGCATTCCAAGTAGTTTTACTCCAAGATCCCAGAGCCTTCATATTTCAGTCCTAGACTAGTGACGCGGTCTACTGGTGGTTTAAGAAGTCCATCTCTCTCCGCAAGCCAATGGCAAGGCAAAAGGTTAGGGCTTCAACCCCACGAGATAAAGCAAATAAGCAGGAAAGTGCTGTTGTTCTGCCCTGTATTGCCACCAACTTCATGTTTAAGGAGCGTGGGTGCTCAGCTGCCCAGCACTACATATACTGTATATACACAAAGAGACCGAGAGATACGCTAACCCGAGGGGCAGCAACAGCCAAGCTGTCTTCAGGGAGAGAGTGTGGGAGGCTGGTTGAAATTTCCTTCTGTTAGTTGTTCTTCTTGTCCTCAGGAGGTGCATAAGGAGGTGGCTGATCCTAGAAGGAGACACAGCAGAGTCAACAACCCTGCCTGTTTTATGACGAGCTCTTCCCAGGCGTTCCCAGGCTTGGCTTACAAAAAAATGACTGCTCTTCAGCGAGCTACAGACAGAGCCAGATGCTGTGTTTTAAGCTGTCATTTCATCACACCATTCCTCTCTACTATCAGTTATGCTCTGGGATATATGCTGCCTCCCGTAAGGTTCCTAGTGAAGGTCCCCTGAAGACCAGGTAACAAATGGTCTGTTGCAAATAGACCATTTAATCTGTTTTAATCGCCACTGTCCCTTCATTCCCAGGGCTCTGTCTCTGTTTCTGCTCACAGCTCTGACCGAGCAGACAGCAAGCCCCTGGTCTGAGAGCCAGCCTTGCTGCTCCATCAGTCTCCAGCCCACCACAGAGCCACGCAAGGCAGTGCAGGGCACAGGCAGACTGGCTACAGCCTTCCTACACACTGCCCAGCTGGCTGCCACTGACTGACCAGTAAGAGACCTCCTCGGCGCCACACAGCCCAGAAAACAATGAAAGAGGAACCCACATGCTCTCATCCTTCCGCGACCTGCTCTTCTTTAACTCTCCCCACTTTCAGGCCCATCAGAAGCAGAGCGCTCTGTGCGTTCTCCTTGCCCGTGCAAATCTGTTACGCCTTTAAGAGTAAGACAAGCATCAGACGGCTGTTACTGGGTGAATCTTAAGGCCCTCCTCCTTTCCCGATTGAGGATTTAACAAGCCTTCTTCAGAGGACCAACATCTACGCCTCCTTCCAAGGAAATGCATACTTTCTGTGCATGTTAATACGAAGGCATGCTAGACTTTGCTAGGAAAGCAAACCGCTGTCTCTAGCAGTGACAGAAGAGGGAGCAGACACAGGCAGACCACAGGCAGACCACGACTCACCATGGGCATGTACACATTGTGTGGGTTGGCGGGGTTGTAATATGCCATGGAAGTGGCTTCCATGGCCTTACTGTCCCCTAGAAAGGGAAGAAAAGAAGCCATCTTACATGCCTTAGGCAGTGGCCCAAGCCCCAGAGCCTTCTCCCCAGCCACAGCTCTTTTGAGGAGGCACCAAAGGTCCAAAGACCCAACAGCAACCACGTCAAGCTGTGTCTGCATTCAGAGCAGTTCAGGAAAGCTGCAGGGTGGCCAGAGCTGACCACAAGCTGTGCAGCGCAGAGCTGAGCAGCTCCCCCTCCACTCTGTTATCTCAAATAATAGAGCAAGACATTGTCCTGCAACAACAGCAGCTTCTCCACCCCATGCCGTGCCCACAACGCCACCCACAGCCCAAGCCCCCTTTTGCACCCAGGCCCTGGCAGCTCCCCAGTCCCGTTTACCTGGCATCCCCGGGCCCATCCATCCCGGGGGAGCTGCGGGTCCTGCAGGAGACGGCCCGGAGTAGGGGGGAGGAGGTGGCACATACATGGGGTTCATGTTTGGAAGCTGTGGGTAAATACCTGAAAAAAGATGAGACCGGATTGATGCTTTGGACCGTGGCAATGGGACAGAGGGGAAGAGAGCTCCCAGGCCCAGCAGCACGTTGGTGCTGGAGAAGAGCACCAGTGCAGCTCTGCAGGCTTGGCAGGGATGCAGGCAGCAGGGATCTGACATTTTGCTAACACCTGTCATGCCAGCAGGCAACAATTCTCTGCCAAGCAGCAGCAGAATTTACAAACCACATTTTCACCTCCCATCCAGCTGCAACTAGAGACACACGGGTGTCACCAACAGCACACGACCCATTTTTGCAAGGACAAGGATCCTTGATGGACACAAAACTACAGTAACCCTCGCTTTACCACTGCGATTTCTTTACAGCACCACACACCCCCTGCCAGTCATCGTCACACAACTTCCAAACCTGGAGTCTGGGCGTATGGATATCCCATGGGCTGTGGAGCGGGGCCATAGGCGCTCATCGGAGGTGGCGTATACGGATACGGTCCGTTTGGTGGCGCAGGTGAATAACCCCCGGGAGCAGGCGGGGCGGGCGCATACCCTCCGGGCACGGGCGTATAGCCATAGCCAGGGTTCTGGAGAGGAACACCACTGGAAGCTAAGGAGCACACGTTTCGTAAGCCAGACATCCTTTTGTTACAATTAAACGTACAGAATAAATGGAAAATAGTCCTGTTCACGCAGCACTGTTTCCCTTCATCTAAATTCACTACACAGTGCTGGCACAGCACTGCGCTTGAAAAGCACTGGTCTCCTCGCTGCAAGTTCACAGGGTGCTAAAGGAAACCAGTTGCAAACATACTAGCTGTCAGGTACCAGTTCAACCACAGAGCTCCTGCTGCTGGAAGAAAAGACCGTCCTAAAGCCAGTATCAGTAGGGTGGTTTTCACTTCTTTTTAAGCTTTCTCATCGGAAAAAAATGCACATTTTGAAATGCACATTTCTTTAAAAAGCTTCTGTATCAGAAAAAAATGTGTATTTCCCCCCCCCCATTTGAAAGTTTTAAATATAAATTATTATTTTAAACTTATTTCACCCCCTCCCTCCAAATGTGGACAAGTTAACTTCCCCCATCTTACACCACTATTATAGAACTGAGCTGAGGGTAGGTAAGCAGATCAATTTTCCACCATCGCACATTTCAACTTTATTCCAGGAGGAATAAGGTTCTGTAGAAAGAAGTGGTCCACCTCAGATGCACAAACTCCACAAATTGTGATTGCACCAAGCATTACAATGAAATAAAGAAACAGAATTGGAAGGAAAACAAAAAGTTCTCCTGGAAAAAACCCCACAACATTGCTGGGGAAGAATGTGCAGAGTACCCCCCCTCCCCCAGCCCATGAAGTTCAAGAAGAGCACTGTTCTCTAACTATCTCAGCCAACCGCAGGGGAACTGCAGGCTCTGAAGACCCCTTACCGTTAGAGGCAGCTCTGAACATCAACTGTCCAAACTCAATGGCTCCTCCACTGTTGAAAGTCAGTTTAAATGTCCCCTGCCCTTCCCAGCCACCTGAAAGAGAGAATTAGAATTGACACAGATTATTAACCTCCTCGGTAGCAGTCAAGCCAGCACAACAGTTAATACTCCAATTATTTTTTTTCTTCTTTATTTCAAAACTATTTTGCATCAGCAAAATCTTCACACAACTGCTTTTTTTTCTCATTTGGTTCACGAAAGGCAATCATTACATTATATGTTGGCACGTGATGTAATTAACAATGTTATTTCAATAGGCAAATATCCAACTCCAAATGTACAGCCTTCATTGCACCTTTTCCACTATCAGAATCAAAATCTAGTGGGGGTGATTCATGTGACCTGGGAGACTTATAGGTAACTTAATCTTTTTAAGATAGATATAAAGAACTCTACCTGGCTGTCCTATGGTATCAGAAGGGAAAATAAGAACACTTTTTTCAATTCAAGAAAGAAATAAAGTGGAATTTTGCTGCATGATAAGCAATCAGCTGTGAATAGAAACATTCACTGTGGCTTTTAAATTTCAAGTGTTATGCATAATCAGTCATTAAGAGCTTCTTCTGAACAACACATCTGATGGGAGAAATGGGGGTATTAAAAATCTGTCACATGATTTATAAAGAGGGGATAATCAAGTTTCATCTGGACTATGGGAGCTCTTTCAGCTGTATTTTTTTCACCAGAGGGAAAGAATCGTGGTGTTGCTATCAGATGCCCCCTGAACAGTATCTCAAGAAGATCAAGAATTTATTTCTTTACCCTTTAAAAGATGATCCCCACTGTAGTTATGTAGAAGCAGCCCACTCTAGATACTAGGATGTTTTGTCCTTTCCTGAAAGGTTTAATAGAACCTAATAATGAACACAGTGTGAAGAAAGAACACATAATTCACCGAGCATTTTAACTGAAAGCCCTCAAATGAAGTTTTATTGCTGACCTCAGTGGACTACAGATCATGATCTGCAGTTCAAGCTAGGATTTAAATCAAATGCAACATTTTTAATCTCTTTGGCCCACAGCAACTCAGACAGATTATAAACGATTAGGTGTAATAGCACTTTTTCAGAAAAAAAGCAAGTAGGTGATGACATGGCAGGATAAGAATGCTTTGCTTTGTACAGGGTTTTTGGTGTAGTGTTTGGGGGTTTTGAGGGGGGGGTGTTTTTGGTTTGGAAGGAATTTTTTTTTTTAGAAAAAAGATGTCTTTTAAATAAAAGATTTCATAAAATAAGATTTATCTTCCTTGTCTAACTAACAACGAAGTTAGCAGAAGTAGAGAGTCTCTTGGGGACAAAGCAGAAATAAAGGATAGGCATAGGACAAAACAATCCACCACGGATAAAGTCATCCCCTTGGAGACTGACCTCTTTTAAATCACTGTCTTAGTATGATTTCAGCCCAAGAGAGCGGGCTGATCCACATTCCAGAGAAGCCAGCCACTTTAAGGCACTGTTAGGAACAGGAAGTAAAAGCATAAGCTCTGCAGATGCCATCAAAATGCACACAGACTAGTTCTAGGGCTGAAGAGGGAAGAAATTTGAAACAGAAGCCTTGTTTTCAATCCCTGTTTATTTTCTGCAGTTCCCTATGTTTGGTCACGACCATGACTAAGTCTTACCACAGTTTCACCAACAAACAGGGAACAAAGCTAAATCAGTGATGTACAAAAGCATCCTAGATGCACGCAAACGTACCCAATCTGTGAAGCGACTAACGACCTTCAGAAAACAAAAGTGGTTGCTAATTCTGTCTATCAATACCAACGACTGGTGACTTGGTCACTTACCCTTCCAGGTCAAAGACAGGAAAACAAGCACATGCAGAAACCCAGTGAACATGATACACATGGCAAGGCAGAAGTTGCACAATTAAACAAAAGCCATCCAGTGAAAGTCAGTCATTAGCTTTTGGGGCAGAAAGTAACCCTGTAGTGGTGCCTTCAACTTCAGAAGACACAGGTTACCTTAGCGTGGACATGGCAGCTATACTGCCACAGCTACTGTGTCCGCCTTTCCTGTGCACATAAGCCATTTGTCTGACGTCCAGCAGAAGATAAAAGGACACTTGGGAAGAGTTCAGTCTACATAGCATGGGCACGTACCTCCTGCCTCAGCCTGAATCTGTCCTTTGATGTAATTGGCAGAGAAAACAGGCTGCTCAATTGAGCATCCTTTCACCAAATAAAACGGCATCATGAAAGACAGCATAGGATCCTTGCCCTTCGACACAAAGATCATCTGCAAGACAGGAGGAAACGCCTCTGAGTTACTTGAATTAGATATAAAGGGTGGTCATAAAGCTCTAGTTGTAGCTGTATCCAAAACCAGGATAACTTAACTCCTAGCATCCGTATGCACTGTGTTATTTCACAGCTTTAATACTGCAGGATCCCAAACAGATCTGATGGCACGTGGGTCACGCACCTGGAGCATGTATGTTGCAAAATAATATACCACTTCAAGCACATGTGCACATTTACAGAGTTTTATTGTTCTGCTTTTTAAGGATAAGCTATGGCAGTTCTCAAAGAAGGTAATATTGGCTGACACATTATTTGAAATATATTCTCTAGACAGTGATTTGCAGGACTGCACGTGCTTTTGTAGGAAGTGGGACTGTGACACAGGCACGAACCACCCTATCCCCACCCTCCCTTCTCCTACCTCGTACTCTCAGTGGTTCCTCCCATAACAAAAATCACTTCTTCCATCACCAACTAAAGTCTAAAGTCTACAAGATCCCTTGAGAAAGAAGCAGCCCTGCTGGCATCAGACTTACCCTGTAAGGGGTGAGATACAGCATCCCTTTCTTGGTGCCTTTGAAGGCTTCAGGCTTTCCTGTCACATCACTGAAGGAGAGCTCCACATCTTTGCAATGTTTGAGAATGCTACAGGAGGAAATCGGACAAATTGGAGAGAAAGGCTCAGCAACAGCTCTGACATGCACCCCCATCACACAGGGAGGGGGACAGCACACCTGAAACTCTGAATATTATTCCAAAAGACTCCGTTCTGATGTGGGCCCTGACGTTTTCCCTTTGAACTGAGACAGCTGATTTATGCAGAGGGGAAGAATTCCTCCTCTCAGGATGACAACCCCTGCTCCTCCTCCACAAAGGGAAGCTTTAAATGACAGATCCTCTTTCTGTCTCAGAAAACATCAGGCTGAGGAATTCCTCTGTCCGCGTGAGAAGAGCCTCAGCCCAAAGGTCAGGGCACACAAATGGTCTGAAACCACCCCCCTGAAGCCAAGTTATCATCCCAGAGCAAGCCTCTCTCTGCAAGTCCATGCTCAAAGCCAGGACTGGCCAATGCACAGGAAAACAGGGCTGCTGTAACACCACACTCGCTGTGCAAACCGAGGAAGTTGCTTCACTAATACCCTCACTGCTGATCCTACTTCACATGATTTAAGTAAATATCTGTAATAAACAGCGCCATGCTAAGGAACAAAACAAGCAGCCACTAGTGACAGCAAAGTCTTTATTATTGTTGGACATCTACAGGAACATTAGCGAAGTTTGCTAATGACACAAAGCCAGATGAGAACTGTGAACACTGCAGGGTCAGGGGTATGGAGATGCCTGAAAAATTAAATACATTTTCAGAAAAAAACCAAAAGAGTCAGCTCGGGAAAGTGTGTCACTGAACCTACAATACAGATCCTAAACATACCACCCAGTAAGAAAATTTGCAGAATAAACCAAAGAGTCTTGGGGGTGACAAGCTTGCAGCGTGTTATAGTGGCAGAAGAATCCGAGGCATTTTATGGTTCAAGAGCATGGAAAAAATAAAACACAAAACCCTAACCCAACACAAGCCTGAAAAGGCCAGATCTAAAGCAATCTTTATGTATTCTGATCAAGGTACTGTAAAAGCCAGATCAACTCAGGAGTCAGGAAACTGCAAAATGACTGGGGGAAGGGAGGAATCAGCAGGGCCACCGTATGGGAAAACAACCAACAGCCCTGCAGTTTCAGGTCGTGTGCTCTTTAGGGAGGAGAGAAACCTAACAGTACAGCTGTGTCTGAAAAATGCAGGTATCCAAGGAGGAAGACATTAAAAAGTCTAGCTTTAATGAGAGAAAAACAACCTGACCAAGAAATTCTACTGGGACATTACTTCACAGCTGAGCTAGATTCTCAGACTGGCTGTGGGGGACTTTCCATTTCCTAGATGCAAAGGGGAGACATCTCTTCTAAACTATACAAAACCAACTCCTTGACAGCTTGGATCCTCCCAGCACACTTCCTCAGCCATGTCCTGTGGCAGCATTTCACGTCAGTTTGACTCACTGGGAAGAATTTCTACGTAGTTACTGTCACGTTTACTCCTTCCCAGCTGCTCACACAGGCGAACAAGACGCAGCCACCACGGCTGGGCGTAATGAGGCTGCTGAACTGGTTCCGGCCTACATGCCCGGACAGGGCTGTCACGGGAGGGCTGCACACCCTGCAGAGTGCCCACCTGTCGCTAAGCAGCACCTCCAAGAGTGGCTTGAGGCCAAGCACGGAGAGATCTCCTTCACACCAGCAGAAGCTCCGCACGCCAGCGCACTTCCCTGACCGAAGTGCTGGCTGTCAGCGACGAACCCAGCCTTCTTCGGCACATATTTTTGGAGCGTGCTTTTCCCATTGTTCACCAACCCCGAACCAACTGGCGCCGCTTCTCTGGGCCTCTGGCTTCCCGGATTTGTCCAGGGAGCGCCCAGCCACGACCAACGGGCAGCTGAGGCCCGCCGAGCCGGTCTGGCGATCGCTGCGTCGAGGGGACCCGCTCGGCTCC